ATTCTTAGGTGGAATCTATATTTAGCCAAACGATGAGTCACTGCGTTGTCGGACGATTTGTTTATGCCCGTTAAAAGACCTTGAGATGCTTAATAATTCACGAAAAACGATTTGAAAAATTCAAAAAAATTATATACAGAATGAAGGCAACCATTCAAAAATTATTTCCCTTCAATCAAATTTAGTTGCTCCATTTTTCTTTAAAAAAGTAAATCCTCATATAAACACCATTCATTTTAAAATTATTTCTAAAAAATCAATTTTATCTCTATAACTCTACTCCAATATCCTCTCCCTAACTTCCCAAGTGGTGGGAGTTGGGGTGTGCATGGAAAGGAAAAAAGAGATAGATTGTATATCTCCTGAATTGTACAAATAACACTAATATAATATCACCACGTCCGAAAATTTCTCTAGTAATTTTTCAGTATATCAAAATTAATATTAGTCAATTATTTTTGAGTATCTTGTCACCGACTTATTGATGGGATAGTTTCATTTAAAATTTGGATATTTTATGCTATATAGTCGGCGAGTATTAGTTTTGTTTTGGTCATCTATGGCTGCCTTCTTCTGCCGTCCTACTGGAATTTTCAATTCCAATATTTTTATTTTAATCAAATTATTCCCAAAAAATGTCTGACTGGATCTTGAAATGAAAATTTGTGCTATTGTTGCAAAACAAAAATTCTTTGTGAATGAAAAATTATTAATAAGAAGAACCAATAGTAAATATTCCACGTATTGGGGAGTCCTATTTGAAATAAGAAAAGAATGATTTATTATTTTTGTTTTTAATAATTGCCTTCCATAGACGCGGCTACCCCGTCCCCATGGGCAACGCAACAGTGTCCTAAGGGAGGAGTTTAGAGGCATTATTGTAGCACAAACTTCTTTTTCTTTCTAGGTCATGTGAAGGGGCCAGTCCAAATTTATCACATTTCAACCTAGAATGAAAATTCGCCAGAAAAATATATATCACATTTGTGAATATGACATTCGGATATGAAATTAAGATTGATCAAAGTTATGATATACAACACAAGATTAAAACATCCTCAATAGATACAAAGAGCAATACTATTGAGAAGTGCTCAAATTCAAAACAACTTGTCTATTGCCCAACCCAAATAAGTGCTTGACCCATGAACCCAAAATCTCAGCAACCTGGATTGGGCCTGACCCTTGAACCCAGCCTTGCCAAATTATAGCTCATGGTTCTACACCTCCAGAGTCCATCCCAAGCATATAAGTGTTTGTCCCATGAACCTAATATCTAAGCAACGTGGATAGGCCTTGGCTAAGCCTGTCAAAGAATCGGATTGCAGTGAATCCGAATTATGTTAAACAGTTTTAATCTGAATATTGTCTGATTATCCAACGATTTTTAGTTTCATAGATTGTATGCGACCCGCTAAGAATATGATATTGGATCCAATAAGCCTATTTAATATAATTTTATCAAATAATAACTTAATTCCTTCATAATTTAATACAAATATATACATATAATTCAAATTATCTATAATTCGATCGAATATTGATCCGTTAAAATTTGAATTCATAAAATACAATGTAACAAGATGAGATTTTAATTTAAATTTAAATTATCGATAAAAAACAGGCAAAATCTCAACTTACATACTAAAAAGATCATTCGAATATCAAATTTTACCCTCAAAGTTTAAAATTATTAATTTACATTTTGAAATATACAAATACGTATTAATGTGCATCTGAGACTAACTGCCATCAATTTTACAGTTAAAAAAATTTGGGTTAATTATAAATTACACCCCTCAAAATTTAAATAATTTATATTTATGATCCAAAAAAAAATTTATCAATTAATACTCGTTAAATAACTCTCAATTATATCATATTATAACATTTTCGTGTCGGATCAATTGAATTGTGTTTTATGTTTAATTTTTATGATAATTCATATAATGCTATTTATATTTTTTACAAATTAAAAAATACCAATTTTTTGTTTATAATATTTGTTAAATAACTATTTTTTATCTACGGTTATATTATTAGTATCTAACTTTAATTTGATCTAATAATCAAAAGATTTGTGTCTAACTGTAGACAAAAGATAGTTATTTAACGAGTATTGTAGGAAAAAAATAAATATGTTATAATTTTTTTTTTAAATTTTAAAAAATATTTTTTATTGACTCAAACATGATTCAAATACCTTATGATACGAGATAACTGAGAGCTATTTAACTAGTATTAATGAATTAAATTTTATTTGGATCATAAATATAAAATATTTAAAGTTGGAGGGTATGATTTATAACTAACCCAAAATTTTTTAATGAAAAAATACACAAAGTTAGTCTCAGGTGCACATTGATACAAATTTATATTTTCAGGGTTTAAATTGATATTTTTAAAATTTAAAGGTATAAATTAAAATTTAAGTAATCTTTTGGGGGTGCAAGTTAAGATTAGCCCTAAAAATATTAATCTATATTTAATTAATGGAATTGGAAATCAACTTGATCCGAAATAAAAACTGATCCATTGATGGGCCCAGCCTTGGCCCATAAGATTAAGTTCTTTAGGCGGGACGAGCTCCGAATTGGCGGGATGTTTTCCAATTTACACACCTCATAGTTCTCTCAAAACCCCAAAGTTGGAACTCTCTCCTTCTAATATGCTGACCGGAAGAGAAAGCTTAATCAGATTGGTCGGCAAACGCCGGAGATTCCTCCCCCACCGTCAATCTCTTCTCTCCACTCCTATCCAGGTACGCTCTCTCTCTGTCTCTCTGTCTCTAAGTATAGATGTATGTGTATGTAATTTTGATTTGTCTGTTTGTTTGATTTAGGGATCACTAAATCTGTTGAAAAAAAATGGGAATGGTGGATCTGACCTGGCCGTCGGTGATGGAGAATCAAAAGAGGATCGAGGCAAAACTGGGATCGAGGTATCTGGTTCTGAATGGGTTTCTTGTCCTGTTTGTGGGAAGAAGGTTCGGGGTGAAGATTACGTGATCAATTCTCATTTGGGTAAGCACTTGTTGGTTTGGGTCTTGTCGTTTTTCGATTAAATAAGCAAATAATGTCAGAAATGTGTGTATTTACATAGATATATGATGTGGTTTTTGATCAAATTCTCCATACTAGGTTGGCTTGTTGAGTCGCATACTTTGGAAATTGTTGAAATTTATTGTTTGACAGTTGTTTTCTCATGTATATTTATTGTGGATTTGAGCTTTTGAGATCATTGATGGAAGTGATTATTTAGTCCTAGAAGGAAAAGGGAATCCACAGAAGTAGATTAGCTAGAAATGCATATTTTGGTAAAAATGCTGTTTTTATCTGTATGTCTGGTCCAAGTTCAAGTAATATGTGCAAGAGAACAACATCTCCTTTCATCCCATATCCGGGGGGAGGTTTGTAAAAATGTACTGAAACTAGCAAAGAATTGTCTAGTTAAAATGGATTAAACATCCAATGGAGATGATGGAGATAAAATGGAACTATTAAAGGCAATAGCAATAATTCACAGCCATAATACTACTTTACTGTTATATGTGAATGAAAGGCAGGGATTGAAAAAAGAGAGAGACAAGGCAGATCAGGCAAATGAAACAAAGGCCCCAGATTGATCATCTAATAGGTGAAATTCAATGAAAGAGAAAATCTAATTGTCAGAACTGGGAACTGACGTGGCTGAAAGAGTTAATTGTGAAGTGGTTTTTCAGGTCTGTAATTGACTTGTGGATTCTGAACATCTTAACATCTTCACAAGGTGAAGAGTTACGGTGTTTGGAGATGACATAGTGTTAGGTTCGGTGAGAATTCTTGCTGACAAGGGCTGAGTGTATGTTAAGGAAGATGACCATGTAGGTAGGATTATAGGACGATGGTCTCTTCTGTCATGATGCGATACTATGGCTTGGCTTTTATTGTAGTTTTAGTGGCTGCCTCTTCCACCATCCAGTGAGGAACAAAAGCAAGGTTAGCCATTTTCAGATTGATATGCTATACACGCTTATTTGAAAATGGATTCAGCAACAACACAAGACAACTTATTTTTGGAGGGAAAGTCGGGTTTATTATTTGAAACTGAAATAAAGTCGACTGTCATCCTGGCTTCTAAAATGAACGAAAGCTATCAAAACCAATTCTTAAGAATTATCGTTCTGAAATATATGCATTTACAAATGACATAACATTTTATCTACCTCTTCAACTTTGCGTTTCATGAAAGAGAATCAATTTCTGCTTTGATCTTTCCACTTTTTGTAGGGAAATGAGGCTGAACCCTGAATTAGGCCTTGGATAACAAAGCACATGTCTTCTTTGCTGTTTATTTTTTGATGCCCCAAGGTGTTTTAGAACTTTTAGATGGTTTTTCGTTGGACCCTTCGCAGTCGCAGCAAGTCACAAAGCCCAAAAGCACCAAGTTTTTAAAATGGGGATTCTATCTTAGATCGATGAGAGAGGCTAAAGGATCGGGATCGATGGATCGGAACGACAATTGTAAGATCTTACAAACTAAAAAAATGCAACTAAAATATATATAACAATACAAAACTCTTAGAAATAGAACTAAAGCATATGTAAAATGTATAAATGTTATGACAAATATATAAGCCTTAGCGATATTAAAACTTGAGAAACTATTATTTGAATATTGACAAAGGAGAAAATCAGAGATGAATTGCTAATCTTGTAAGATTTTGTGAAGAGAAATAGGAGAATTGGAATCTTAAATTTAAAGGAGAAATGGAGACACTGGAGAATTTGAACAAGAGACTATTGAGTAATTTTTTTTTTTTTTTTTGTATTGAGTAACAAATTTTGTCTATTCTATATCCAACAACAAAAAAAGGACGTGGAGGAGAAAAAAATGGAAGACACACCTTGTAGTGTTCACTTGTCGAGAGAAAACTTTTCTATGCGAGAGAGACAAACAAATGAAGAGAGTTTTTGTTAGCGAGGACAAATTTCTATAGCTTTTCTTACATGAATCGGTTAAGAAACACAAATTTTTGTAAAGAAATTAATCAATTCATATTCATAAATCTAATTCAAATAATTGGGATTACACAGTTATTTATCGGACAAGTGTCCTACCCAAATAAAAAGTGCTCTATAGCTAAAATTCTATTTAAATCTCCTATGGGATGATTATTAGCTCTAATAAATTATAGAAATAAATAAAATTATAATCTTCAAATTTATGTCCATCCAATCCCTTTACGATCTCCATCACTGGATCTTCAATTATTAAAGCAATAAATATGAATGAAACAGGCCAGCTCAATAAATAAAGGTGCTTAGCAAATAAACCAAACAACTTGGATCTGTAAAATCACACTTGGGATTGAGATTCTACGATTCTAAAAGATCTGGATCATGATCTAATAAGATCATATGAGCTTGGGATTTTTCAAGAAATTCAGATTGATTTGCCTAAACCGGATCATAAGTTTGTCTGGATTGGGATTTTAATTACAATGCTATGAACGTGATTTGTACTGGGCTGGTTTTAACTGAATAAATTATAATTTCCTGTTCGCAGATTATTAACCTATTTCATCTAGAGCATCGTAGAGACAATGTGGCATTTGTCTGGAACAAGTTACAGTAATATAAACTCCTTCATACTGAAGGTCTCTTTATTCTCTTTTGATCAGTTAAAATTTAAGTTCTTAATCCGGGAAAGACCAAGTGCTCAAACAGGCAGTAACACTTGCTGAGCTGATGGGTTTAAGTTTTGGATTTGAGGTATTTTTGAAGCAGTTGAATGTTAAGTTGTTCGCCTTTCTGTGCTATTTATCAATAGTAACAATTTAAAGGAGAAAAATGGGGCTGCATTATGGATCTGAGAAATCTCCGTTTTATGTTCTGCTCTTATGAGTTAATATTTTCAAGTTTTGATTATGCTCATACTTCTGTTGGTCTCAATTATATGTTCTTTGTTTCTCATGGTTAAAATTGATGGTTTTAGATGCATGCCTGGCTAGGGGGACTAAGCGCAAATTCAGCCAGCGGACCCTTTTTCAGCTAAACTTCTGCTCAAGATCAAAAGTTAAGATTCATGCTATCGAGTTGGATGATGCAAGCACTACTGTCAGTCAAAGTGGTCCGAACAACGGTAGTCTCTGTGTTACAAATCGTAAATCAGATGATGTACGAGGCTTTGAAGCATACACCAACAATCGATGTGAAGTGCCCTTAAATTCAGAAGTTATGCAAACATACAGAATTGGTTCAACAGAAAACCCTGTCACTGATGACAGAATCAACTACCGGGTTGACTTGGCTTCACTGCTCCCTGAAAATGAGATGTCTACATATGATATAGATAAAAATGTAGATGACATATCTGGGCTATTTCTTGAAACTTTCATTGTTGGCCGTAGGTTTGGTGATGAAGTGGAGTTAACTACAGGGGCAAGCGTGCTTCTCTTGAGAGATCCTGATAATGTCAAGGATCCAAATGCTGTCAAGGTTTATTTATTTGACACGGCTATTCACTGTGACTTCAATTTGTTTGACTAGTTTTAAGACATTTCATGGTCCTGTGAGCCAGGTTCTTTCTGCAGATTGTGGATGCAGCAAAATGCTTGGTTTTCTACCCCGGGAGTTAGCTCAGTTTCTATCTCCTTTGATGGATAAGTTCTGCTTGACCTTTGAGGTATTCTACCTCTCTCACTGGATTATATAGTTGTCAGATTTCCAAATATTTTTGTTTTTAGTCTTATACTTCAAATCGCTTTCTCTCTCAAAAACACACACACACACACACTATTTTCTTAAGCCATAGGCTTGTCAAATGGTTTCATGTTTCTTCTATCTACAATGGAGCCAATGATCGAATTTTTCATTTCTTTTCAACTAGAACGACCGACATGTTTCGGTTTCCTTCTCAAGATGATTTTTTGTTTCCGAACATTTATGTTTCCGAGTAGACCGAAACTATACGCAAAAAACAAAATCTTGATCCTTGAGTGGGGTTACTAATTGGTGTAATATTAAATGCTCTTGCGGTCAAGCTAGATACAATGGTATGAAATGGAGGGCACAAATGGAAAATGTTGGATGATAGGTTGTAAAACTTAGATCCAATTTCATAATATTTTTGAGGAGTTTAGTGATTCTGAATATTTAATGAATATTCAATTTATTCATTCTTGGTTATATTCTTGATAGTAAAATTAATTACAATCAATTTCAAATCTTCAATTGTTGACCTCCAATAACAAATTGAATTACAATCAATCAAAAATCTTCAATTCGTTGATTTATTCGGTCCTCCACCCATTTTGTTTTAAGTTTAACATGCATCTAAGAGGGTAAATGGGGGATGAGTTTGGGAGGCCTAGTAAGTAATTGAAAACATAATATATGAAGTCAACGGGCATAACAATAATCTATCAACGAATCGATAATCAATTGATGACACATGAATTAATATGACAATTCATAGAACATAAATATATTTAACATGTCAACGAACTCGAACATTCGAATATCCAAAATACTCGTGGTTTTATACTGGGTCTGTATCGACAATAGACTATGCATCAGTCGATCCTTTTAAATCATTCACATACACCCCATAGGGCCACTAACACTACTATAACCTTGCCATTGAGTGTACCTCACACACAATGTTGGTAAGTCCCCAAATACTTCATCAAAACCAAGATTACAAGATCCACGATATGTCACACGAAATACACGACGGAATATCAAAATACTTACAATTGAACAGAATATCATATCGAAACTTAAAATTAGTCAATACCACGATTAGAATATCAATCATGTTCTCTTTGCAAAGAGATTAAAAGAATGTATATTATGTATAAACTACTTACCCAATTTTTAACCGATCGATATATTTGTAGCTCGAAATACCTCGAACCACCTACTTCACTTCTACAAAATTGAACCTAACTTCGCAACTAAATGATCACGTTACTTCATGGTTTTCTCTATTTTTTTCCTATAACCGAGAATTCTCTACTTCCCTATCTCTTGTTATGTTTGTCTTGGTCATACACTTATTGAATGCTCAAGTGTACACCACCTTTCCTTTACCCAATATATCAAAAACATGGTCATATCTAGAATAAACCTTGCCCACGTGTCCCCATTTGTTTTTTCTAACATATCACTTTAGTTGTTTTTTTCTTTATTTCTTTTTTATGCTTTTAATATGTAATGAATTATTTAGTGGAATGTAATAGAAACCTTTACAAAGTTTAGTAGAATGTTTAGGAAACTTATGGAATGCTAAAGAATTTTCACAAATATCCCCATATCATTCTATATTATTCTCTTTCGTTACTCGATAAATTTCAGTCTCAATAAAATTTGTAAGAATCAAATGTTCCATAATTAAATCCTAACTTATATTTTGACCTCAAGTAACCTTTTCGTATAATTTGTAAGAATATCATGAGATTCACAAATTTTAATATTTAATCTCTTTTGAACCGAGATTTGATCGTCACATAGGTTTCTTTGAAATTTGTCTCTCCCAACATCCTATAGTACGGGATGACCATTGGTCACCCTCCCCCGATCTCATGTTGTTTTTACCTTTTTTGTTTCAACAAGAAGGATCTCCACAAGTGCATTGTCTGGAAACTCTACTAGTCTTGTCCATCGCTCTTGAAAGATATTGGGAATGAATGCGTACTTGGGATCCCAAAGCTTGACCTCACCTTTTACCATCACCAAACATGACTTAAACTAGTTCTTGAACCTCTAATCATCAATGGGTGTCTCAAAATGAGACATCCGCATGCTTGGCAAATGTCTCGCTTGTTTTGTGTTCTAGAAGCCATGAAATCCAAATCCTGTCTATGAAAGGGCAGAAAATCCAGTTTATAACGCTTTAATCTAAGTACAAATCTACTTACTCAACAATATAATGTGAAGTGATGGTGTGTGGGTGACAAAATGTTGACAGTAAAATGGAAGACATGTCAAACAAAATCTGCTGTTTGTGTTTTATAACCGTCGCACCTGTTCAGTTGCCACCGAGGCCACTTGAGCAGGCAAAGGCAATCCCAAGTCTTTTTTTTTACTGTCTTTAACAGTAGATTTTGTCATGAATCACTCCCTTGTGCGTTAGTTTGCTCTCAAACAATGTTTGAATCCTCAATCTCGAATCAAATGCATGATGGTACTATGTAGGAACTAATTGCATCAAATCAATAAAACAATTAATTCTTACCACACAACATTGAGATTTTTACTATTCACACTTGATCTTGGGAATCACACTTAGTCCCTTAATGTAGAGTTAGACTTTTCCCAAGAATTTCCTATTGAGTTAGCGTGGGGTTCAACAATCACTTACACGTGTAGTAGATATACACAAAAAGTTAGAAATCCCATGTGCAAAGTGTGACAACCAACACTCACGGGGTTGACAAGTCCTTCTGAACATGGCAATCCGGTGAAAGTAAGATTGATAGTGTTACTTTTTTAAAAATTTTAAAATTTTCACTTTATTTGACACTCCCCTTCAATTCTTCATCCCATTTTTGACCTTTTTACTCTTTTTTTTTTCAGTGTGGGATAGGTGATTCATTTTGAAACTTTTGGTATTCAATTTGCTTTTGCTTCATTTTATTTTTATGATTTTTCATGCCTAATGCACACTAGCTTTAGTTTTTGCCAATTTTCTTTTCATGTTTCTTTTTAATTTATTTGATGCAATATATGGAATATTTGGACATTGGTCAAATTCACCTTATAAACGCATTCTAGAGTCTTGTAATGGCATTACCAACTAAGCACTAGATATCCATTCGAAAGTAAATGAATATCTCTAATTATAGTCATCATCTAGCCAAGTCCTAGTGAAAGGGATTTATATGCAGTTCAAATTCATCGAAGTGCTTGTAGAAGCCTCAACCTTTCCTAGTGACCAATGACTTTCTTTGATCTAGTCTAAAATTTTTTCAGAAACATCTCTTTTTGTGCAACACCTAATGTCGGAAGAAAGAAGGAAATCTTTTGGGGATTTTCTTTTAAAGTAAAATCAAACAATGAACAATGAATAGTGGAATTTTGAAAATAATACCCAAAATGACTACTAATCTACACATAAACAACCTATTAGACACTATATGCTTGTGTTAGATTCCTTCTAGACACACCACAAGCAAATTGGGCAACATTCCAGACCTTCTTGTTTATCTTTTGTGTGATGCATATGCAAATCTGCCTTTTCGACCATTGGTGTTTTGTTTTTCAAGTTATTCTTATTAGAGTAGTTAGTATATTTAGACTTAGGGGTAGTTTAGTCATTTGTTTTCTTTTTATGTTGCCCTAGCTTAGTCTGTTTATTTTTTTTTTACCTTATTATATAAAGATCTTTTATGTAGTAGTTTTTCTTTAATATTATTCTGACTTATTGTGTCTCACTAATATTCTCTTCTTCTTTCTTTCATTTTTCTATGATTAATCAAAGTTAACATGGTATTAGAGCCAACATGGCTCTAAGGGCTGTGAACAACACCAAAAATACTGTTCACTTGATGAACAATGTCGAAATTATTGTTCACGCGCTGTGAATAGTATCAAAGTTACTGTTCATGCTGTGTACAGTGCCAAATTTCAATTTTCAGTGTCATTTTTGCTATATTGTTGTGTAAGAAATCTCAATTTGTTATGAATATTTGATTTGCAAAGTTATTGAGCTGATTTGTGATAAATTTTGGATTGTTTGACATTGGCTGTTTCTTTTGGTTCTAGTTTTTGCTAGTTGGTTTTTGTTCTAGGGAGGTCTCTCTTGGCTTTGTTGGTGCCTTCTTTTTTCTATTTTGTGATTGGATTTGTGCTCTCCTGTGTGTCGGCCGGCTGTTTTTGTGCCTTCGTTCCTAGGTTTTCCTCACTGAACCAATTGTTGCATATGTTACTCGTTCTGGTTTCTTTTGGTTCTAGTTTCTGCTAGTTGGTTTTTGTTCTAGGGAGGTCTCTCTTGGCTTCGCTGGTGCCTTCTTTTTTCTGTTTTGTGATTGGATTTGTGCTCCCCTCTGTGTCGGCCGGCTGTTTTTGTGCCTTCGTTCCTAGGTTTTCCTCACTGAACCAATTGTTGCATATGTTGCTCGTTCTGGTTTCTTTTGGTTCTAGTTTCTGCTAGTTGGTTTTTGTTCTAGGGAGGTCTCTCTTGGCTTCGCTGGTGCCTTCTTTTTTCTGTTTTGTGATTGGATTTGTGCTCCCCTCTGTGTCGGCCGGCTGTTTTTGTGCCTTCGTTCCTAGGTTTTCCTCACTGAACCAATTGTTGCATATGTTGCTCGTTCTGGTTGTTGGGTTTACTGCTTCTTCTCTTCTGCTGGTGTTTCTCGTTGCAAGGTAAGAAATCCTAATTACTAGGGTTTGTTGATTTTGGCTACTGCTGGTTTGGGGTTAGTTATTGTTTGACTTTTCTTCTTTTTTTTGTTGGGTTTTATTTTGTTGATCATTGTTGCTGGTGGTTTTTGTTGGACTTTGGTTTTCTGTTAGGCCTTTAATTGCTATTTGGGTGTTAGGTTGTTTGGCTGTTGGCTTTTGCTTGGTCATTGGGCTATTTGTTTATTTTAATATTTGCTTGATTTGGGTATTATGATCAGTGAAAATTCTAATTCTCTTCAAGCTATCTATGTCAATTAAAATGTGAGAACTATGTATATTGGGCTTATGTTATTAAAAATTTCTTGTTGGGTAAGGAAATGTGGAGTTATGTTAGTGGTGATTTGTTAGCTCCAACTGATCCTAAGGTCGAGAAATATGTTGTCTTAAAAAATATTTGGGAAATCAACAACTCTAAAATTATCACTTAGATTAACAACTTAGTTGATCAGATCATTGGTGTTCATTTGACTAAGTTTAACACAACCAAGGAGATTTGAGATTATTTAACTACCTTATTTGTTTAGTCTAATTTTGCAAAAAAGTATCAATTAGAGCATGAAATTCAAGCTGCACGTCAGGGTGATAAGAACATCCAAGAGTTCTACTCGGTGATAACTGGATATTGGGATCAATTAGTACTTGCTGAACTGAGTATTCATATGATGTATCGCACTTTTAGAGAGGAGCACGGTTAGTGCAATTTTTGATGGTCCTCAAGGATGACTTTGAGGGACTTCGTGGTTCTATTCTCCATCGTAATCCACTTTTTTTAGTTGATGCAGTAGTGAATGAGCTTCTAACTGAAAAGTTCGTCTTAAGACTCTTTCTGAGAAAGGTCTTATTCCATTGCCTACTTAGACTGTTTTGGCTGTGCCTCCCACGGTGACTTGTCAATATTGGGGTCGTGTAGCTTCAGCCTCAAGATCGTCATTCAGCAGCAACTGCCACACTGGAGGATGAGTCCTCCTCACAGGCCCCTAGTCTAACTATGCTTGGTGATCAGTTACAGAAGTTAATCTCTCTCTATCAGCCTAGTGTCTTTACAGTATCTTCTTCAGTAAGTTCATTTACCTTAGGTCTTTTAGCATCTACAAACAACAAGTTGATTGGGATAGGCCGTAGAAAGGGAGGACTGTATGTGTTGGAGGAGCTCCATGTTCCAAAAGTTATTGTTGATTTATCTTCCTCCCCTTTGTTTTGATTACTATGCAGTTAGCAGATTTCTTCACAAAGTCGCATCCTATTACTTGCTTTCGTTTATTTCTTGACAAACTCTTGATGTTTTCTACCACCACATCATGAGTTTGAGGGATGGTGTTAGAGTAATTAGCATATATAAACTTGGGGGTAGTTTAGTTATTTGTTTTCTTTTTATGTGGCCCTAGTTTAGTCTGTTTGTTTTCATTTTACCCTACTGTATAAAGACTTCTTATATAGTAGTTTTTCTTTTATGTTGTTTTGGCTTATTGTGCCTTAATAATATTCTCTTCTTCTTTCTCTTATTTTTTTTATGATTGATCAAAGTTAACAATTCTTGCACAGATCACTAGATTTAGTTCTAATAATGTTCCACTGTACAATATCCTGCAGGGCTCAATCACTTCTGTTCCAAAACATGCTTCAGCTGTGGTTCCAATTCAGATTGTGTGTCAAGATAAGCTACGCTGTGGTGAAAGAGATTGTGACAATCTTCATGCACTCGAGCGCTTATGGAAACATGCTCTATGTGTGGCTGAATCAGCTAAGAATCATCCACCTAGCGTTCCAAAATATCAGCAGAACTTCATAGTGTTAATACAAGAAGTTTTAAGGAGTGATCCTCATCTTTTCACAGATGATGAAAAAAATTTCTTGGGTAACTACTCGACTATGTGGTCCCTTATATTATTACTATTGTGGTATCAGATCACAGAATTACCATGACGTTATATCTGTTGGCAGGAACTTTCACCTCACTTTTAGAGGATAGTCAGAGGCTTTTTGTGCGGCTTTATTCCCGGAAAGGTCTGATATTTACTATTCATTTTGCCTCAGTCTGATGTCTTGGTGTTATGAATTTTTCATGCTCACTATGTGTTCCTTTTACACCCAGCAGGCCAGCACGAATATAAGCTATTTGGAAATATGAGCATTTTTTATCTCATAAGCTGGGTATATTTCTAAATTAATTTGTGTAATCCAGGGCCATGGTTTCGGAGGTCTAATATTTCCTACCCCGAAGTATTGGATTGCGAACAAGCTATTAAGGACCTCTCTGGTAAGTCAATTCCTTTATTTCAGGATCTTATGTGGTACATGCCATGCTATCAGTAATTTTAGTGGTTGATGATGCAACTTTACGTTTGATGGAAGTTTGTTGTTCATCTTACATTACAGCGGCAGGCTATATTTCTTCCATTGAATCCATAAAAGAACTACAAAAGAATGAGTTAAAGGAGGTTCTGAATGTACTTACCGTTAGTGAACTACGTGAAATTTTGTGTATGCTTAATGAGGTTCGTCTTATACTTTCTCCTAAGGTCATCTATGATTTTTCTATGTATACTGGCATGCATAGGTTACTTTGTGTGAAAACTGTCCTTGTATATATTGAGACGTTTCAGCCACATCCCCTTTTGTGCGTGATTCATATCTCTATGGGTTCATCATTTGATGACACAAATGTTGACTAAACTGGATCCAAGTCGTCTTTGCCGAAGCTTTCTAATATGTTCTGAAACAAAAACGAATTATTTCTTTGGCCTGCACCACTAGTCTTTCTTTGATTGAAGCCGGAGAATAAACGTTAAAAATATTGAAGATAACAGAGAGATGTACAGGAATTAGTGATTGGGTTGCAATGGGTTTTCTCCTCCACTTGGGCCTCTTTTATAATAGACTCAAAGTATATGTTGGAAACTAATCCCAACAAATTCGGTAGTTGGTGGTTATTTTACTCACAGTATCAAGTATATGCTAGACATCAACTCTCAAAAATTTACATAGTGGGTGGTTATTTTACTCACCCATTGTGTATAACAATTCCTCCACTTTAGGAGAGAAGCGCCTATCAGATATAACCACCTTACCTCCATCCACATGCACATCTCATATTAAGTGGGATAACCTAATAGTGTGACCAAATGAAACTTCTTAGCCAACTTGGCCAATCACACCCATTGTCTTCCTTGTGTGTAATAAAATCAATATATGCAAAATTAAAAACACTACAAACGTTAGTCAAATACAACAATTTTAATTGAACAAATATATATACAATTAAGACGTTATTTATGTATTTATTTTAATCCTCCAATAATTAAAACATTGAGGGCTATGTGGCCACTCATTCCAACAACAATTGTGACCGAAAAAGAAAAGAAGAAGTGATGCTATTCATTCCCAGCATGTTTGTCTAGTTGTTTCCAGTTTTGCGTGCTCCACGGAGAGTTAATGTCCTCAACTGTTAGGTTTCAGTTTTTTTTCTGGAAAGGTTGGGTTTAAGGTTTAGGACTTACATTTTCATGGCTTTTCTAGTATAATTCTCTCTATGATTATTATTTCACTTATTATTAAGAAAATGAGCAAAAAAATCCTGATTTCAGAATTGGATTTGTACGGTTCACTATCACATGGTTTATCTAGTTTATCCGAGTATTGCTATTTCTCTTTTTCTAAACCATTCAATTCTGATTTGTTCATGACAATCTAGTCAATGATTGATCAATTTGAGAGAATAAGTTACAGACAATAGAGCTTGATGGTTTGTTCATCTAAAAACCTAAAAAAAACCTTGCTTTGGCTTTTTGTATGTTTCTATGTTCTTTGTTTTTTGCATGTGAAATGTGCACTAATGGAGTGTTATGGATGTATTCCTTCTAAATTTGGGTGAATACATAGTTTATGCTCCTAAAGTGACTAATTGGCTTCTGATGACTACACAGCAAGAGACCTACTGTGTGGACAGATACGGGCCACACATTATTCACATTAAGAGGCCATTAAGTGGCGGGTTTTAGACTTGAAACTCGCGCTATCCATTTAGCTGTTAGTGCCATCTTATAAAAAGTTGATGAGGCCATAAAAATGAAAATGGTTTTGTAGTATTAGTAAAACTAAATTGTGCATTAGCATTAATTTGGTTAAGATGTCAAAAATAGATGTTTAGTAGTCACATGTGGACCACCAAACCTGGCCTTTCTGTTACAATCCCGGGCAACACACCATTGCCATCATCACCTGCTTCAATCTATCTTGGTAGTCCCCTGAACCCATTCTTGCACATGTTACCGATCTCCTGGTTTAATAGCAACCAGAACACCACCATGTTTCTTTTTATCACCTTCTCTTCTCTCTTCCACAGGCATTACATGCTAGATTTTTAACAGAATAACAGATAGCTTTCAAGCTAATTAGCATAGAGGGAACGAGGAGGGATTAGTTCATGATTTCTATCATCAATGTATGATAGGATGATCATTGATGTCTGTCCCTCTCTTTCTTTCCTAGAACAGCTTCTGTAAGTTAACTAAACGGAAATAATTCTTGCCCCTTCTGGGGAATTTATGAAATTTTGGCATCATTAGAATTTTCAAATGAAATGGAAGTTGCGATGATCATTTTGAGGATTTGTCATGAGAATGGTAACTATAGAGATATGAAGAACAGGGACAAAAATACAATTTTAGAGATGATGATGCTACCCGCCTCTGCAATTCATGCCTTGCTTTAATCTTGCATCCAAGGGTAGCACTATATTGCATAAAAAAAACAAAAAGACGCATAGCTGGATGATAAATGTCCTGGTTGATTGTGAGCATTTCAGCTTGTCTAGATAGGGTACCACTTTAAAAAATGAGCACCATAGAAAATGCAAATTGTGTGCCCCAGGTTTTTTTGGTCCCAGGGAACCTATTAAGTTTTCTTCACAACTAAAACATGTTTTGTGAGATATTTAAATGTTCCAAGGCTGCTACTAGATTCAATAATGAAAACACTGCAGGTATGGCCCCCAAATACTTAGAATGACGCCCTGATAAAAATCAGATGAGTCCATAGTAGAGCAGAAGTTCATGAACACTCACATTGATTCAGTACTTGGAAAGAGAAGAGGCACATAATACAAGATGTAATGAACAAGAAGAGGAGAATGCAACTGATACTCTTTTTATGTGAAGGTAAATATATAAATTTAGAAGGGCAGAATACCTGTTAAACAACCATCTACTCTAAAAGTTTAAGTTGTTGGAGAGGGTGTAACTTAAATATTTATACTTTAGCACGACCCTCTCACATGCTGGCTAAGATTTTAGATTAGATTTTGGGCCTAGCATGTGAATTTTTTTTTAATAATTAGGATGACGGCGAGATTCGAACATAGGATCTTCGACTCTAATACTATGTTAAACAATCATCTACTCCAAAAGTATAAGTTGTTAGAGAAGGTGTAACTTAATTATTTGTACTTCGACAATACCCATATTAATATTAGTTTCATAGCATGTTTGCCCTTGAGTAATTAAGGATAGAAATGGTTAATTTAATTTTGCTTCTAGTTGTTTGCTCAATGAGGAAAGAAAGGCATAGATTGAGGGATCCAAAGAAATATTTTTTCTTGAGATTACTTTTTCACCCTCAAGTAAAAAGATTGAGAGGCAAATGTAGTGAGTGTTAGGTGGGTTGAGAATTCTTAACGTAAATTGAAATAAGATTGTGTATCTTGCCCGGATTTTTTTTTAAAATATTTTTTCTCCTGTGCATGGATGGAAAAGTTAAAAGCATGCAAGTAAACTTTCTTCTTCCTTCTCATCTTTTATTCCATTCTATATTTGATTTCTCTTCTCTTCCCTTTTCTAGTGATGAAACTAATATATTGTCAATTAACTTTTGCAATGATGAATATTTTAAGGGGGCATCTTCAGGGTTCCAGGCAACTAGGGTAAGCATGAGATGGCTAGGCTTGATAGGATACAGTACACACACACAGAGTTGTCTGCCATACATCCATACACACTTGCTGGAGTGCATCTGTGTGCATTGTTACCACAGGCATACGCATACCTACCTAATACCTAGGAACTTTTAAATGTGCCTATCAACATCAGTGTGCAGGTCAATGTATCCATATCACGATGCACACTTTTTTTGCTCATCCATTTTCCGAACAAGGACATCACTTATGCATAGTCGGTATGTTTGATTAATAATTGCAACCAGAAATGTTCATATTTATGAGATCATAATTTTGGAAGCATTTTTTTTCTCCCTCTTTAGTATCATTTTTGTGCATCGAAGTTGTTTCAGTGTATTTAACTACAGTATAAAACCATCCTAGGCAAGTGCTAAGCATATATGTTTCAGTTTTTCCAGTCTTGAATTGTTTGTTAGTCAGAAGATTAGTTGCACTTAGTGACAAATTTATCACTGCCATCACTTTCCTGGGCTTGATGCCAGCTCTGCAGAGCCTGTTTAGGCAAAGCCTTTGCTAAAATGCTGTCTACATTTTTGCATGCATGGTTATCGTGCTCCTCCTACACCCATTGAAAATGGCAAGTTTAATAGGCTAATTTAGTAGTCAAAGTTATGATTCATCCCAATTGTAATGGACATGTTACTCTGTTCCCTTTAGTTAAAAGTTTTCTCTACATTGATGGATGAGCCTAATAACCAATTAGCCATAGATTTTTAGCTGTGATTTCTCTTTTCTTCTTTGGACTTATAATCTTATTTAATTGCGAAAATGTCGTTCTATTTGAAATGGTTTTGAGTATATTTTTGGTTGCTCATATTTCCCTCCCTTCTTCGGTTGGGACTTCAGAAATGTAGTCGTGGTACGAGAAAGCAAGATTTTATTGGTTCGCTTCTTTCAGCTTATGACAAGGGATTATGGTAAGGATTTGTTTTCGAGTTTGTCAATCTGCTGAGTCTGTGTTGTCAGTCTGCTGAGTGTGTTTTCTATTCCAATTATTGATCATGCAGCCCGCTTCTCCAAAGTATAGTTTTGAAGAAAACTGGAGCCTGTGTTCAAACGTCTGTAATGGCCGAGTCCCTTATTTGGCGTGCTGAGGTGAGTTCTCAGACCTTTGCTTTAAGCTTCTGAACTTGTAAATATAATTTTACATATAATTAATCCTCTTCTAGTTTGTGGCTTCATGCAGAGGCTTTTCTTTCTGAACGGAGAGCAGGATCTTTCAGCATTTTTGCTTGTGGACTTGGGAATTGTCAAGTATCCTACTTACAACTGTATAACCTTAGACCATATATTTTCAGGTCAAAGTGACCTGCTTTCGTATGAAGAGGTATTGTTGATTTTTGTGTGAAATGCTGGAGAAGTATGTTGCTGTTACCAACTTACTGTTTATTGGTGCAGTCCATTGAAGTGGCACAAATTATGGATGATCTCTTGATGAAAACAACTCTGAGTTGGCATTAAGATGCATAGAGATGGCTGACTCCTGCATCTCCAGTTCTCTGAAGGCAACCTATCCATCAACTTCCCCATTAAAGATTCCATTTTTATCATGCTTTTCTGCTTTGTGGGTCTACTCTAAGGTGGTTATGTTAGGTGTTTCCTTTCTTGAGCATGCGCAAAGGTATGGAGTGTATGGACGCTGGGAAGTAATGGTCATTTTTTACCGCTTTGAATGATTCTTTAAGTATAGATCCAAGGATCAAAAATGTGTTTCTGTGTATAGTTTCGATTAGCTCGTAACAAAAACATTTTAGAAATGTTTCGGGAGCATTAATAATAATTGAACATGCTTATTATCTTAACATCCATTTATAATAGATAAGATCAAGTTGGAAAAATGAAAAAAAAAAAAAAAAAGGTAATGAGATAGAAGTCACTTCAACTAATTTTAAACACTTCATTTTCATTAAACCAATACACTTAAGAGGATATTCTAGTCTCCTAATACCAATGAAGTGCTCACCAGCATCATATGAATGCATTCATAGTGTAAAACTACATTCATTTTACTGTAGAAATAATTTAGAAACATGATGAAGCTAGGAATCAAGAAATTCACCCTGGGGCGAGCTCTCCATTTGGAGACAAAAAAAGTTGGATGTTATGAGGCAAAGAAAAAATTTGGAAATTTATTTGTGGAACTTTCCAATTAATTGATTGAAACATGTCCAAACATCGAAATGTCGATATTCATATCACTAATTTGTTTCGATTTTCATGGAAACGGAAACGTTTAGCTGTTTCGACTATTTCGCACGTGTTTTGGTTCCTTGTATAGATCTGAATCTTGCAATGAGAACCCCTCCCTTTTAATCATTTCAGTACCTATGACTCTCTTGTTGTTCATCTTTCGGTTTCAAGTATTTTTTTTAGCAACAATGTTGATTTTGATTGGGTGAATTGGAACGATGATATTAACAATGGATGCCTAGTAACACACATAGAAGCATAGTAAAAGGCCAAAAACTTAGAACATGTTTGAATTGAATTTCAGTGTCTAAGTACTTGTAAGTCCCATCCTCCTATTATTGAAGTCAGATGTGATCATAGGTGCAAACTATGATAGTGATTAGTGATTAGTTCATCATTTGTATGTAATCATGTGGGGCCTTTTGCCTACATGATCCAGAACTGGAAGGATGATTGTGATGCATAAACAGTGGGCTTAAACCTGTTTGGATCAACTTTTCCCTAATCAGCAAGGAAGGAGTAACACATGTTGAAGGAGGAAGCAGAACCACCCTATATTTTCTAATGCTACAAGATGAATGCAAAGAATTAGCAAAAATATGCCAAAATCAAAGTTTGGAAAGCAATTAATTAGGTGTTGAGATTAAAAGGCTGGGGAAATATGTTTACCAACTTGTCTGCAGTATTGCAAGTCCCCCAGTAGTGTTCATCAAATAGTTCAGGTGGAAAAGTATGTCTTGCGGATAGGATGAAGGATTACCTTTTTAACCCAGGGTACTGACGTAACAGATTAATAATGAATTAGAACCAACATAAGAACATACAATGAACTTTTTAAAATAAGAAATAATTAGAAATACAAAGGGAACCGCTGGAAACCTAGAACTTTGTGAGGGTGAGTGCAAAACAACCTCTAATGAGACAATTCTTTTATTTGGTTGTCCCATGCAGCCATAGGAGAAGGGTCTGAGTCTCTTGAACGATAATAGTAGTTAAAAATCTTTCACCTATTTTTGCAGACATTAATTGAGCCACCACTAAATGGGCTTATTCCTGATTTTGGAATATGAAATGGGCATAATTTTATTCCCTTGTTTGTTACTGCTCCACACATCAGTGTGAAATTTTTAAAAGACCCACAGCAGGAAAGGAGCAGCTATACGTATTTACATACCACTTCCCTAATATGATTGGGACACAAGGCTTAGTTTGGTTTGGTTTGATTTCACTAATATGACATTTTGAAATTTTAAAATTAAATAAAAATGAACTCCTTTTAAATTAGATACTAAGTAAGACCTCTGTGATGAAGTTAGTCATGCTGAATTAAGACTTGATTACATGGAGCATGTCTATTATAACATACCGTTTTAAAAACACATCTTCAGATGATCAAATGTCCAAGTTTGGCTTCTTGCATGCATAAAGAGTTCGTGCAATCTGTACATTATTGTAATATCAAACATCAACTGTACTAGATTAAAGTAATCAACAGTGAGTTTATGATTAGGATTTGATTTTTTGGTTGGGTGGGGAGGCTTTATAAGGAAGAACAAAAGGAAGATATAACTAAGACACAAGAAAACATAGAACGGATGGGAGTCGGATATGCATTCTCTATATTGAAATTTTCAACATACTTGCCATGTTTGTAGGTGAAAATTTGCTGCCAGGATGAGGAGATTATGATAGAGCACTAAACAATCTGCCTCTCTCATGTAGAGCTTTGTAGCTCGTTAACTTTGTTAACCAGATTACCATTGTACCCTATTTTAATGTACGCAGCCAACATTTTTTACTTTCAGAATGCACACTGCTTTACTGGATGATCACGATTTTTTTAATCAATGGACACAGATTTGCACACCAAATAGCTGCTATGGTTGATCAGGCTCTTGAAACGTTTTCTCTTTTTATTTGCTTATATTTTAACGAGGGTACAGGATTCTTACAGGCATAATGCCTTTCTATGTGCACGCCTCTCTAATGCGCGTCTGTGTGCACTAACCTACCCATGGACATGTTGGGAGAATACAACCATAATCCTTAATTGAAAACCTGCTGTGATAGAGACGCCGGGTCTTTACTTTCTTGTGCACCCTGTTTTTCCATTTAGTATCCCTTATGAGCTTGTTTGACCTTCCCAGGTATAATGATGCTATAAATTTACTCCGGAGGTTGCTTAATAATTTTACTTCTGATCGAAGAAGAGGATATTGGACTCTCAGGCTGTCAATTGATTTGGAGCATGTGGGCCGTCTTGATGAGAGTCTTTCGGTTGCTGAAGATGGGATACTAGATCCATGGGTTCGTGCTGGTTCTAGAGTTGCACTGCAAATGCGGGTTCTGCGCTTGGGGAAACCTCCAAGACGCTGGAAAACTCCTAGTTATTCAGACTCTGTCAAGCGGAAGATTGCTGAGGTAACTGCTTGTGTGATATTTCTTTGGATGTTGACTTTTGACTCCATCGTGCCAGTTAAATTTTGAGGCGCCAATCATTTCATTAGATTCATCCTCTTAATGCCAGGGTTATGCTATTGCCCAAGTGACATTATTTTTCTCTTGGCTAATGACGAGTTAGGTTCATGTTCAAGGTAGACCATTGAACTGTGAAACAGGGATGAAGAGTATATTTTATGGTCAAGATGGAGAACAATGTGGAGTAGAGCAGCTTGCTTTGGCAGTATTATTCTGGAGAGAAGGCGGTGGGATGGTGTTCACACAGAGAGTGGCATTTGGTTAACTATTTTTGGTCTGCTGATGTGGGAAATTATTTTTGCTGATGTACCAAATGTCTTTCGCACCAGATTTCAGGTACTGTCAGAAAGCAAAACTATCATTATTTCATAGTTTTGGTACTATGTTGGAAGGTATCACCATGGTCAGATGGTGCATAACTTCGCCATGCACGTATGTGCTGGGTTGTACTTGTATGTTACCTTCTGTGGATGCACATTGGGTTGCATGCCTATGGAGACATGGTACTGTGCTTCAACATTGACAAATATGTAAGATGAACCATTAAGTCTCAATGGATGTACAATGTAAAATAATCATCTATTGCAAAAGCTTAAGCTATTAGAGAGGGTTTGACTTTAAGTATTTGTACTTCAATATGCTCTCTCCTGTGCAAGCTGTATTTTGGACCTAATACGTTAAAATTTGTTAAAAGTTAAATGACAACGAGATTTGAACACAAGACCTCCTCTAATATCATAAACAACTATCTATCCCAAAAGTTTTAAGTATTTATACTTCAACACACTAGACCATCCATAATTATTGTTGTTGGATGTTGTTTTTGATATGAGGACACCTAGGAGGTAGAAAGGAGATATGTTTAGATGTTTATTTTCAAACTTGGTTGGATTCAGGAATGTAAGTTTTTAGTGTTGAAGCAGATACTCGATTATCATTCATGATTCTCTTGAAAGTTATGACTGAGTTGAGTCTAGTTTGTTAACAGTGTTGTTTATGTCAATTGAATTGGGCTAAGAGGGATTGAGAAGTATTGATTGTTAGTTGAACGAAGAGTTGATCGTAATGTTGTGCTTGCTTTTTGTCATTCTATTTATGTTAGATGAGTTGATATTGAATTACAAGCTACAATGCA